ACTTGAAATAAGTTTTGTGAAGCCTTTACACCACGAGAAGGTATACTCATCTTGGTAGACATTTTCTTTGGTAACGCCCATTTCCTCTGCAAATAAAATTCTTCCGGTTTTGGTAGGGTGCGGTTCGACTGTTTCAAGCTGCAAGAAGTTGTCTGCAGTCAAACCGCCTACGCGTTCATGTCAGTTATTTTAGTTAACTTATTAACGACCTGGGGGCGAAGCCCCCAGGTCCTTCCTATAATTGAATTCACCGTCGCGCTATGTATATATATATATATATACATTTATTTGTATGTCCACACTTACATCATAGATACTATATATACCAAGTGGATACAAAACAGGATGTGCCTATGCTCTTTTCGCCGGATGTGACGTTTTTCCTAGATACGATTAGCAACCAAAATGGTGGCAAAATCAATAATTATAAAAAACTTCATAAAAATCTATATTTCTTCTGAAAAGAGTCAGTACAAGAAACAACAGACAATTTAGCTTCATTGGTTTCATATTCATACCCTATTTGATCATCAAAAAAATAAAATTATAATAATAGTTTTATCATTCTAATATGGTATATCACAATGACATTAAGTAACTTTTTTCAAAGAAACATAGCTTTAAAATAATTATGAAAATATACAAACCGTACAAAAGGCATGTACGTAGACTCATACAAAATTATACCTCTTCAAATAGCATAGTTTTCCAGAAAAGGTGTTTACAAAACAGACCATAAACAAACTAAAAAATGGATATATTTATATTTTATAAAACTGCAGTGGAAAGCTAGTAGTTACAGACCATGTAACACAATAATATCCTTCTTCTACCCAAATAACACTTACTAACTCTGCCCCAGATTGGAGAAAAGGTGTTTAAAGTCAGAACTGTAGGCCGCCATGTTTTACAGCACAACGAGATCCAGTGATCAAGCAAACAAGGATTTAGCAGGTCATTCGAGCTAATAGAGACTTCATAATACTTACTTCAACTCAGCAAAGTAGTAACTTGACCAAGAACCCAAAACTTCGAGAAACAAGGCCACTAGAGGCTAACGCTAGAGCGAAAAGAGCATAGGCATACTGCTCGTGACGTCACCAATATAATTTCATGTACAATCTACTTCCTGTTTCGCATCCACTTGGTATATATAGTATCTATGCTTACATTTCTTCTATACACGTTGTATTGGAGAAATAACAAGCCTTAGCAACCACCCGCCCACGCTACTTTACGTGAGTGGGTGTGGTCACGGCAAACAAAATGGCGGCTTACACATGGGACAAAGTTAAGAGCTTTCTAACAGCAAGAGAGCATAGAGATACTGTCTAAAGACATCTCTAGAAGCATTATAAGGTAGAGAGAACCTCTATAAGTCTTAATAATGATCAAGTTGTACTTGCAAGGTGGTGAAATCAATTATAGGAATATTTTTTACCCTGTTACGCTTGTTTTAGTTGATAAAGGGTTAAAATTAACAAGCTACAATGGCAGTTTGTCCAGAGCCAGCAGGAAAGTGGTGGCAGGAGCACTCACAGAGTCTGAGACGAATATTGGAGGTTCTCCTATCCTTCGGTTGTGGTGTATTAAATATTATTAGCTTTGGTAGCCCTTATTGGCTAGACCTGGTGAGTCACTAGAATCTGTTTTCTAACTGAGATTTCAAATTGAGACTATTTCAAATGACTTTTTTGTTATTAGGGGGAGAATGGTCACATGGGTCTGTGGCAGAACCGTAGTAATACAAAGTGTCAAGGCCTATCAAACCCATCAGGTTAGTGTACGTGTGTTGGGTAGTGGGTTGGTCTACTACTTTAGTAACTCTGATGATCCTTTATTTAGAGACCTAAAATGATAATTTTAATGCGTTTAATATTTAGCTAATTGCTGATTACTGTGTAGTTTCAAATTTTCATGGTCCAAAAATTTCATGATTAATTTTTGTGGAATAATCATGACAAATTAACGACCACCAAAATACAGAACATTAAAGATAAAACACTGCCGATAATATTTGTAACTTTTATTTAGTAAACCAACTCACTCACTACTACATGTAGTCACTACTAGTGTTGATTCAGTGTTATGGACACATTATGTATAATTTCTTTTATTTATTGTATGTACTTTACTGACTCACAGGTGCTGTTATTGGTGTAAGAGCAATGCTGTGTATGTCATTAGTGTCAGGATTGATTGGCTGGGCTGTTGGTATGGTAGCATTGATAGTTCATAGACCTCGTTTCTTATTCACAGTTGCACTGGCCTTTGGAATACAAGGTAGCCATTTATAACACTCATTGAATGCTTGTACATGTACTATAGTGTTGTCATTTGTCAAATGCTTGTACATACATGTATATCTACAGTATGGT